AAATTCGTCTAACTGGAAAGTTTTTTAATTATAGTATTATCAATGGACATGCACCTACAGAAAACAAGAAAGAGTAACAGAAGGAATTTTTTTATGAGGAACTTTCTGTGTTATACAGATCTTGTCCCAAGCATGACATTAAAATTGTTATGGGAGATATGAATGCTAAATTGGGTAAAGAGGATGAATTTAGACCAACTATTGAAAAGCATGGCTTACATGATAGTACTAATGACAATGACTAGTACTTTTTGCTGCTGAGCAAAACATGATAATTTCAAGCACTGTGTGTGTTCAGCCACAGGAGAACACACAAGATGACTTGGTGCTCACTTGATGCAGAAACCTGGAATCAAATTGATCATATACTCATCGATTCTAGCCATTCTTCGAATATCTAGGATGTTAGAACTTATTGAGGCACCACCTGTGATTTTGACCACTTTTTGGTTATTGCTAAAATTTCAAACGCCCGAAAGATACAGAGAGAAAGGCAAAAAAGGTTCGATTGTGAAAAACTGAAAATTGAGGCAATTGAACGAAATTTCCAGGCTTCACTCAGGGGAGAACTAAGATCTAAAAACATGGTTGAACTGGAAACCGTGAAAAATAAGTATAGCTTGCTCAAAGACTCCAATCATACGCTGAGCTGACAATACACTGGGATATATGGGAAAACCCAAACCAAGGGATTGGTTTGATAATTAATGCTTCCTTGTAATACAGACAAAAAGAGCTGCTTATAAAAATATGGTCCAAAAGCGACATTCAAGACTCTCTGTTGAGGAATATAAGAGATCTAGAAAACAGGAGAAGATCCACCAGCTAAGAAAAGACTTTTCCACGACAACCTATTTAAAGATGTTGAACATCTGGCGGGGTCCAATGAAAACTGTGCTTTCTATTGTGAAATTAATCTTGGCCACAAAGATTTAAGCCTAGAACTACTGCCTGTAGAGACAAAAACATCATCATCCTAAATGACAGAAAAGAGGTACTCCACAGGTGGAATGAGCCCTTTAGTCATTTGTTGAATGATCATACACGGGATGGGTCTTCAACCTACCTAATTACCTCTGTAAACACCGATAGTATCCCGCCACTATCTTTGGCAAAAGTTAGAGAAGGAATTAAAAAGCTAAAAAATAACAAGACCCCTGGCCCTGACTTAATTACTTCAGAACTCATTAAAAGAGCTGCAGGTTAAAACATTAAAGAAATACACCACCTCATCGAATCCAGTTTGGAACCAAGAAGTTTTACTCGAAGATTGGAAACTGAGCATCATCTGTCCTATACGTAAAAAAGGAGACATTTTGGGATGTACCAATTACAGGGGAACTATTTTCCAATATAAGTTTTAGTAGACTAGTAACTTATACAGAAAATATTGTAGGTGATTACCTATGTGGTTTCCGCAAAGGAAGATCTATAGCAGAACAAATCTTTAACATTAGGCAAATTTCGAGAAAAACTAATCAAAGGCATTGCAACGCACCACCTTTTTGTTGGTTTTAAGACTGCCTACGATTCAATAAACAGAAAATATTTAATTGAAGCTATGAGAGAATTTGCAATACCTGAAAAACTTATAAATTTGGTCACCATTACTCTGAGACAAAACTTAGGGTTAAAATCCAGAATAATCTTTCTGAGCCTATTGTTGTTTCAAATGGGCTCAGTTAGGGTGATGCACTGGCCTGTTTGCTTTTTAATCTTGCCCTCCAAAAAATCATAAGAGACTCCAACATTAATACTCGGGGAACTATCTTTAACAAATCTAATCAGATTTTTGCGTTTGCTGACGATATTGTCATAGTCGCACGCACTACCGAGTCACTTAGAGAGGCTTTTACATCTCTAGAGGCTGCAGCCAGCAAAATGCATCTAGCAATCCACCAATACATGCCATGTAGTAATAACAGCAATCCCTATTTTGAAATTGAGGAATTACAAATTTGAAACTGTTAGCAAATTTAAATATTTAGGATCAGAAGTTAATACTCTCAATGATTTAATGCCCGAGATCCGTAGTAGAGTCACAAATGCTAACCGATGTTTTTTCGGTCTCAAGTAATACTTGAAGTCTAACTTTATTAGGAGAAAAACGAAGATTTTAATTTACAAAAGCTTAATCATACCCATTCTTACGTCTTGTGCTGAGACCTGGGCAATGACAGAAAAAGTTAAACGTATCATTTCTGTCTTTGAAATAAAAATTTTTAGAAGTATTTCTGGTGGCATAAAGTGTAGCAATATCTGGAGAAGAAGAACTAACTCTGAATTCTATAAATCCTTTAAAGAAATAGATATAGTGCATCATAGTGTTATACCCGAATATATATCTTGAGAAGTTTATTTCGGCTTTAATTCAACAGATGGCAGGACTTTACTGAAGGTTTCAAAGAATAGAGGTTAAAGTTCAAGGTGCAAATTTTTTTTTTTTTTTTTTTTTTTTTTTTTTTTATTGAGAGGCAAACTTTTATTTTTGGAATTAAAAAAATTTGACAATTTATGCACCCAAATCATCAAAATAACTCGACAGTTAAAAGGTTAATTGATTGGTGTGTAAATGAAGGTTTACTTAGTAGCCATTTTCCGGACAGTCCAGAACTACAGAGGATATTTTTTACCCTTATTTTTGTGAATTTATGTGGTGACGCCGATATATGGATTCGGTTTCAGATAATTTTAGGAAGCTTTTAGATGCTGTTAAGGAATTTTTTGTGACTGAAGATGAAGAAATTTCTGAATAAGGTAAGTGGATGTTTGCTTTGTGTAGGGCTTTGATGCAAAAGAGGTTTTTTTCTTTTTTATGTTATTTTATTATTTGGTTTAGAATGTAGTTTATTGAGATTATGTATTTTTTTTTTTTTTTTTTTTTTTTCTTCCTCTACTGTAGAATTGGGTGCTTCTTTGACTTTTTAAGTGAAAATATATCACTTACAAATACATGGATACATGGATAATGTATATTGCTAGATAAGCAACAGGTTTTAAGACCTAGCAGTCCAGTCAAGGACTACTAATATGTTGAAGACATTGTTGGAAAGGCCGAGCATTATCCTGCTGGAAAACAAAATCTGGATGACCTGCTAGTATAGGCAGTACAATCGACTGGAAAATATTGTCAGAGTGCTTTGTAGCATGACTAATGGTGAACAGCTGTTCCAGCCGATCGCTTCCCAGACTGTCACACTCTGTGTGACGTTTCATAATTATTGGTACATTCAAACCACTCACTGCTTCGTCTCTAGGCAGGTATGTGGTGGTCATCAGCATGGAGAGAAAAACATGATTAGTCACATTTCTCCTATCAGACACTGCCTAGCTTGAGCAAGAGCGGTACCTTGCAAGACAACACTGCTTATGATGAAGTATCAATGACAAGCATCTTAATGAACATCAAGATTCGCCCAGGTCTTCTGCAAATCATATCCCAAGATCCCTTTGATTTGGCCAATGATGTTGAATTGATGATAGCGTAACTGTTGGTGCAGGCATGGCAACTCTTCTAATTGCATAATCATCTCCTGCATTGATGGCCCAGGTACATCTTTTGTTACAATGTTACATATCCAAGCTGTCAGTGCAGTTGTAAATGCTCGTCACTCGCCGCAGCTGCCGTTTTACATTCTACGAGCTGTGTATTTCAGACTTGTGTTATATTGCTCCACGCTGCTGATTGGTGCTGCAAGTTTCATCATTTACATGACTCGCTAAACTATGTTTGCATGCTACGTTTCGTAGTTATACCTCAATTTTTTGGGGCCACATATATTTTTTTGCAACAGAGTGTACTTAAAATACAGATTTACAGTATTCTTTATACTCTCTTGTGTCACATAAATTAGTGTTATCTCCCCAAAAAAGAACCATCTTTGGCAATTTTTGCTTTTGCTATAACTGATTTTTATTTGGGTTTTAATCTTTCTTTTTTTTTTTTTTTTTTTTTTTTTTTTTTCCTAAATTCAAGAAAACAATATGGTGGTAGTAGATTATTCGATACGTTTCCATTTTGTCGACACAAATGATAAACTCGCCAAAAATGGTACAACCGATGCCAAATGGAATATCCTTGCTGGTAACCTTTTTCAAAACAAGTCACAGCCATTTCTTATCAGATTGACTGTTTCTTCCAATACTGGCATACAGTGGCATAGAATTTTTACCAGATAGTTCAATTTTATGCCTAAGGCCACTCGCAGTAGTTAAGTTAATTAAGATGTCATCACACTGCTCACCTGAAGGTGGAAATATAGAAAAGGCAAAGTCGGGTTAAATTCATAAATTCTGATGAGAATGCACTAGCGAAGTAAAGCACTGTGGTTTTACATATTTTCTGTGTAAGCTATTCATATGAATTGAAATAATTCTTGCATTCCAAATTAAGATTTATCTTGAAATTAATGTAGATAATTACTGAGAGAATTAGGTTTTTGTAACGTAGTTTACGTGAGGTGGGGTCACGTGTTATGAAACAGCGAATCAGGATGTTGTACCATGAAAGCATAGTAAATTCTTAAAATAATGTCTTTTTACAAATTTATCGTTTTATTTGTTGTCTTTTTACAAAATTTTAAACGATATTAAAATGCTTATGCCTTCTAAAATAAAAATTTCTTAGAACAAAAAATTTTGTGTGTGTGTGTGTGTGTGTGTATACTGTGTGTTGTCGCCAATAAAGTCTGGTTGGTGAGATTTGCACTGGCGAAATGGAAAAGTACCGATTATTCTTATCCTTGTTTTAAAAACAACTTGCTTATCAGTAATCAAATAGGGTTACGTCAAAGGAAAGCTGAGGTATTGTTAGTGTATCGTAATGTCAGTCTTATCCATATTTGACTCTTAATAGCACTGCCTGGTGACAGTTTCATGGTTTATGAGAATAATATGCAAGTACTGAAAAGAAATATCAAGCACCTTAAATATTCAAAGAAAAAGTAATCATATTTTTGTCAAATAATATATAGGTATTGAAGCTTTAATAACTAAAAATTTTGATCTTTGTTTATTTGGTTTTAAGCAACACATTTTAAAATGAAGTCTCGTAAATGGAAACCAGTACCAGTTGATGCCAGCCTAATGTGTTCTGAAGAATTTCAAGATTTTGGTGGCATAGAAGAGCTTGATAATTATGAAATAATTACTAAAGATACTCTCAGGTCAACATCAAAGAGAAAAGCTAAAGCTGAAATTAAGGTATTACAAGCTTTCTTTTTAATATATGTGTATAAATTTATATATGTATTTATGTTTATAATAATAAAAAAGAACATTTTTCCTGTGTATATGTGCATATTGCAGAGCATAGAGATGAATAGATGTAGAATTACAAAAGTTAGCACATATATTGTCCACGTGTACTTCAAAATGATTTTTTTAAACATTCAAGGTTTTTTTTATTTTATTTTATTTGTTTGTTTAAATGTGAAAATAATTTTATAGGCTCTTCATGTATTCCCTTTCTTAATAATTAGTTTAATAATCATGATTTTGCTGTTTGCAGCATCTGTAAAATGAGAAAAAAACCTAAAATATAATTTACCCTATTTTTCATTTTGTTTTCAGGCATTACATATGTATTATTTTAAAATTTTAGGATGAAAAAAAAAAAAAAAAAAGAGTCTGTTATAAAGCCTGGTAGTTTTACAGATTATAAACCTACTCTTTGTCCACATTAAAAAGAGAAATGATTTTGAAAAAAAAACTGATTTGACAATTTTCAGCTTTTTTTTTATTATCTGCACCAAGCCAACTTATTGACAACTTAATGAAAACTTCTGCTTGGTGATTTTTATTGTTCAAATGTAATGTTTTGTTCATAAATGATAGTAAAAAGAGGCATTTTGCAAGCAGTAAGAAATGAGAAAAAAGAATATGAGAAAAAAACTAAATGCTAGGTGGGCAGTATTTCTGCAGAGTGTTAACTGTTTAGTGAAATAATGGTATAATGGTTAAATTTTTTATAAAGTTAATGAATTCAAGTGTATTTAAATGTCTGTGATATGCTATGCATCTGTTGATTGATGCGTGCTGAAAAATGTGTAAAACGTGATGTGGATAATCAGAAAGTATCCGATTTCCTGCATTTTTGCCTTGTAATGTATTATGTAACAACTTCATAGCATCCAAACTTCAATTGGAAGTATTTCATTTTCTTCCGTGACTACATGATTAACACAGAAAAGCTATAAAAATGCCTATAACCTCTGATGATGTCATATATATTCTACACAAAATAAGTGGAATGGTTTCCCTTCTTTTCAATTCTTATATTTTTTGGAATTAAGTCTTTGGTCTTTTCCAATATTTTAGATATGCTTTAAAATGACCTTTTTAAATGGCACTTAATCTAATTTTTTCATGATTTTAAGAAAAATATAATAGAATCCAGAAAAAGAGTGTAATATTTATGGAATTCAGGGGAGGGCGTCAACTTCAGTTTATTGCTATTTTTGTGGCCCATTAGCTAGTTATACGGTATTTTCATAAATTTGTATGTGTATTAACATTTATAGGAATATCACTATCTTGTAATATTTATGCAATTTTATATTTTTAAAATTTTTTTACCCTTAAATTCTTTGGGGCCTTTTAGCTTTTTGCCATTTTGCTTATCTGCGTGTTTGTGCCACAATGGAGCTATTCATTTTTTGAGTGATTAACATAATGGCAATTAATTATCACTACTTTTTTACCAAATTAAATAATTTTTGAAAGAATTCATTATTATTATTTTAAACATTGTTCAAAGCTAAGATCAGAAATGTGACTGGTTGGTTTATTTAATATGCCTTTACAGCTGCTTCTTACAACAGCGATAAAAGCAAATCAAAATCAGTCTTTTTTTCCATTATTATTAATTTATTCTTTACATTTTCTGTTTTTTCAATTCTGAATTCTAATTATTAAGGTTCATTTTTGTTACTTGATTTGTAAGCAGGGGTGTTTGTGCTCCGGGGATTTTGAACTTCGATCCCCGGAAATTCCGGGGATCGTCGTTCAAAAGGAAGTAGGAATAATAATGAATTATTTATTTTGATCTGGGTAATTTTGTTTGCTTTGAAAGCAGAAAAACGCAAGGTCAGTGTGTGTGGTGAAAACTTTTCCTTTCTTTCTCCAAAGGCAGTGATAATGCGTGAAAAGGGAGAAAAAACTTTTTTGTTCTTTTCTTATTGCGAGTTATGACTCATTCCCCCGGTTCTCGGACATTCTCTTCTGGATTTTTTTCGGCAAGTAGGCGCGGCAGAAAAAAATGGGAGAGACTTCATTCGACCAGATGTGCGATCATGTGACTCTGTGTTCAAAGGTCTTATCTCTCCTCGCGTGGCGCCAATAAGTAGAGAAGGGGGATTTTTCGCCGTATTAGCTATTTGTCATTGATCGCTTCTCAACTTTTTTTTCTCCGCTGTGTAAAATTTTCGTTTCATTTCTTGATGCACGTGTAAATTTTTCATTTCGTTTATTGAAATATTTTTTTATTTATGTACGTGAGAGAATTTCACTATGAAATTTCTCGATATAAATAGTGATATTATACAATTAGAAGAAGGTGTCCGGAATGCATTTAGATGGAATTGGATTGAACGGAAAGATGGTAATGGGGATACCATCGGCACATGGTGCAAGAAAATAAATGTTGCTGGACAAGCATATTGTGTTTTTTGTAACCCCACTGCTGAAGTATAGTGGGGAAGGATTCAAGGCTTTCACAAATCATTCTAAAACTGTTACGCACATAAAATATTCAAAGTGCATTAGACATTCAATGACTTTAAGTTATTATGCTAGTTCAAAAAATACTGATGACTTACTGGAGACTGATGCTCTGCCATTGGATATAGTGACAAGAAAAGCACACCAAGAGGTATTAATAACTTCATTTATCGCCGAGAATTCTCTTTCTTTCAATGTAGCTCCCAATTTAATTGAACTCTGCAAACAGTTGAGCCGCGATCAGACGGCACTAAACTCATTGGAATGTCCAGGACTAACTGCATGTTATAAGATGAAGTATGGGCTCGCAAAACTATTAAGGAAAATATCATTAAAACTTTAAAGGAGACTCCATTTTCTCTAAATTTGGATGAAAGTACTAGCAATGCTCAAGAAAGTATACTGGCAATATTGGTGCAGTTTTATGACAACAATCAAAATGAAGTTGTAGTTCATCATTTTGCATCTCTAAAGATGGAATCTTGCTATTCAGAAGCTGTTTTTAAAGCAGTTGTTAATACTATTGAAGATAATAATATTCCATGGGCAAACTTAATTAGTGTATTAATGGACTCGTGTAACACCATGCATGGGAAAAAAAAAACAGGTGTTGAAACCAGACTATGATCAAACAAAGCACCCCACTTATTAGATATTGATGGTGACACATGTCACACAGCTAGTAACTGTGCAAAAAAATTTGCTTCATGTTTTGATAGATACTTAGAAGATTTGTTTGATGACATCTATTTTGATATGAAAAGCTGCAGTAAAAGAGAAAATTTTTTCAAAATCTGTGAATCCCTTGCCATTAAAAAACTTAAGCCCTTGAAGAGACCAGACCATAGGTGGGTGTACATTTTATATGTTTTAGAAAGAATCAAAGATCTGTGGGATGGTCTTATTGCATTTTATTTTCACTACTTGGATAAAACTGATAAAGGGGATTATTTTTCTTATGTTGAAACTGTGTACAATAAAAGAAATATTTCTGCAGCTCAGAAAAAAATTGTTGAAGGGGTGTATTCTTGCTTGCATTCCCAACAACTCACAAAGGATGCTTTAGCTCGGAAAAAAAGAATATTAAATGGGTTATTTGTTATGCAAATAAAACTTTATTGCATATGGCATTATATTCAGCAGTATACCAGAGTTCAACACATATATTAAGTTATTTGAAACAAAAAAACCAATGCTTCATTTAATACATTCCAGTATTTATAAATTGATGGCAAAATTTTTCTCTTTTTTTATGAAGCCAGAAAATATAGAGTGCACATCTTATAATGATTTATTAAAGGTTGATGTCACTAATCCAGAATTCCATCTACCTAGCAAAGTAATATTTACTGGTGCAGAAGCTTCCACTGTCCTGAAGAAATTATCAAAAAGTCATCCAATAGCAAAAGAATTCCAAATTTCTCTGATGAAAGCTTATACTAATACAGCACAGCATATGAAACAGAAATTACCCCTTAAAAATTCATATCTAATTAGTTTTACAGCATTAGATCCAGAGCCAAGAGGTAAAACCAGTACAATATTAGCTTTTGAAAAATTATCATCTTTTATGTCTCATATTTTTAATGATAATGAAAAGTCAAAAGTAGAAGCTGAAATAAGATTATACCAGAGTGATATTGATATCACCAAAGAAATGCTCTACACATCTGATGAAAGTTTTTAATTTAAAAGATGATTTCACAAATGATTATAAGTATCCTACATTGGCTAAATTGGTCAAAGCCTGCCTTAGCTGCTTCCATGGCCCATTAGTGGAAAGTGCATTCAACTTAATGGATACACTTGTCACTGACTATAGAACCTCTCTTAAGATTGATTCCCTAGATGCAGTGCAGACTATTAAATATGATTTAATGGCTTCTAAAGAAACCTCATGTGAAAAATATGGCTCAAAAAATCCAATAACTGATCCAATTCACAAAGATCTCTTACTGAATATGAACAGAAGTTGGAAAACATATCAAGAGGACTTAAAAACATGTATTTCAGATGAGTCACCTCTAAAAGTCTCTGAAAAACCTTCTAAATTAGCAGAAAAGCAAACTGCTTCTACCTCTGCATGTGCAGTTCTCGATGAAATTTCTTCAACTGTAAATGAGGAAAATAAAAGTCAACCTTCCTGCAATTATGAAGTTCACCACAAAAGAAAGACAAGCCCACAAACATCAGAAAATAAAAAAAAAGCAGCTGAAATTAGATAATTTTTTTTTAAAGAATTAATTCAGGTAATTTAAAATATTTACATAAAATGTAGTAGTTTATATGTTTGAAAATTTATGGTTATTAATTTTGCAAAAAAAGTATTTCATTGAACTTTTATAATTAGGTCATTCAATACTTCATAATTTTAATTTTTCATTTCTCTCCCCCCTCTTCTCGAAACTCCAAAATGTCAGTAGTAAGTCCGTAAAAGTTTCAGGGGATTTTTTGGGGTCCCACAAACACCCCTGTGTAGTATA